GAAAAGAGGTGAGAAAAGAGGTGAGAAAAGAGGTGAGATCTCACCTCTTCACCTAAAATATATTTTTGTCTGATTTACGCTCATTACGATGAAGTCATGACAAAACATATACGTTCATGTTTGACAAATCATTTACGAAGAAATCATGAAAATTCAATGAGGTGAGAAAAGAGGTGAGATCTCACCTCTTCACCTAAACATTATTTTTGGGTCATTTACGCTCATTACGATGAAATCATGACAAAACATTTACGTAAACATTTATTTCCTGTGTTGTTGTCAAAATGTCATGTTGTCTCATTTTTTCAGAGAAGTTCATTAACCTGGTAGCACATGGTAACATGGTAGCACCTTCAGTTCTTCAAAAATAATTCATAACTGCCATCCTCCTGTGTTGTTGTCAAAATGTCATGTTGTCTCATTTTTTCAGAGAAGTTCATTAACCTGGTAGCACATGGTAACATGGTAGCACCTTCAGTTCTTCAAAAATAATTCATAACTGCCATCCTCCTGTGTTGTTGTCAAAATGTCATGTTGTCTCATTTTTTCAGAAAAGTTAAATGACCTGGTGACCTGGTGACCCCTTCAGTTCTTCAAAAATAATTCATAACTGCCATCCTCCTGTGTTGTTGTCAAAATGTCATGTTGTCACACTTTTTCAGAGAAGTTCATTAACCTGGTAGCACATGGTAACATGGTAGCACCTTCAGTTCTTCAAAAATAATTCATAACTGCCATCCTCCTGTGTTGTTGTCAAACATGAACGTAAACATTATTTTTGGTTCATTTACACTCATTACGATGAAATCTTGACAAAACATATACGATGAAATCATGACAAAACATGTACGATGAAATCATGACAAAACATATACGTTTAGTTTCGATGAAATCATCATGACAAAGCATATACGATGAAATCATGACAAAACATGTACGATGAAATCATGACAAAACATATACGCTCATGTTTGACAAAACATATACGATGAAGTCTATGAACATAATAATATTTCAAACCAGGAGCCAAATTCTTGCGATTTTCATATGGAATCTCTTCTCTCGGTTTTCCGAGGTAAGCAATTATATGAAATCATTTACACTCATTACGATGAAGTTTCGACAAAACATGTACGATGAAGTTTCGACAAAACATATACGATGAAGTCATGACAAAACATTTACGATGAAATCATGACAAAACATTTACGATGAAGTTTATTTCCTGGACTGTTGTCTAAATGTCATGTTGTCAGTAATTTTAAGAGAAGTTAATTAACCTGGTGACATGGTGACGTAGTGACACCTAAAAACCATCTACCCTAAACATTATTTTTGCTGAATTCAACAACAAAATGAACGAGGTCAGGATGTATGCAAATACCTTTGAATTCATTCATAAATGCCTTAGTAAGCTCATAAAATGCTTGTTTTGAGGTTGAGCCACTTTTGGCTCGACCGTATTCTTTCAACCAAAACTCAAGAATTTCCTGCATGAATTTTGTATAAAAAGCAACCGTCTGAATTCCGGCGGTTGTTATATTCTTCACAAAACATTTACGTTCATTACGATGAAATCATGACAAAACATAAACGAAGAAGTTTTGACAAAACATAAACGAAGAAATCATGACAAAACATATACGATGAAATCATGACAAAACATATACGATGAAGTCATGACAAAACATATACGATGAAATCATGACAAAACATATACGCTCATTACGATGAAATCATGACAAAACATGTACGATGAAGTTTTGACAAAACATATACGATGAAATCATGACAAAACATATACGATGAAATCATGACAAAACATATACGATGAAATCATGACAAAACATATACGCTCATTACGATGAAATCATGACAAAACATGTACGATGAAGTTTGACAAAACATATACGATGAAATCATGACAAAACATATACGATGAAATCATGACAAAACATATACGATGAAATCATGACAAAACATATACGCTCATTACGATGAAATCATGACAAAACATGTACGATGAAGTTTTGACAAAACATATACGATGAAATCATGACAAAACATATACGATGAAATCATGACAAAACATATACGATGAAATCATGACAAAACATATACGCTCATTACGATGAAATCATGACAAAACATGTACGATGAAGTTTTGACAAAACATATACGATGAAATCATGACAAAACATATACGATGAAATCATGACAAAACATATACGATGAAATCATGACAAAACATATACGAAGAAGTCTTGACAAAACATATACGATTAAATCATGACAAAACATATACGATTAAATCATGACAAATCATTTATGTTATACAGTAATGTTAGTCATGAATGTTTGTCCTACGTGTTGGCGTTAGTGTTGAAAAATAATGTTTGTCCTACATGAAGCCGTACAAGCGTTTGAATTTGTTTATGCATAAGATTACTCTCTTGTTTTCTGTATCTATCATACAAACATAAGCAGCACCTGTTTTTGTAAAGTTTATATGAAGTTTTCGATAGTTAAGACCTGTATAATAATAGAATGCGTCCTCATTCTCAACATAGTAGTAGAACTCAAACGAATGCTTACCATAATCTGTTATTTCAACAGCTTCGTCAGATATTTCATCAACGAACTCATAAACTATATCGCCATACTTGCTTTTATTTCTATTGTTTTCAGATTTAGAACACCAACGAAGGTTTGAGATTCTGTTGTCCGTTCTATCATGATTTATATGGTCTATTTCTTTCAAATTGTTTGGATTTTCAATCCACTGTTCTGCAATAATTCTATGCTTTAAATGCGTTTTGTTGTTTAAACTAAGCTCAATATAACCATGATTATTTAAGCATTCACTCTTAATATGTTTGTTTTTCTTTCGACGAATAGTAAAAGGATATGTCGTACAAATCTCATAATCTTCATGATTTCTCAATGTTTCCCATTGAGTTTGTTCCCCACTAACGTTCTCATTGACGTCCTCAATATCTTCTTCCTCACTGAACTCGTCAATATTTTCACTAGCTCCTTCTGTAATATTTTCATCGGCATTGTCATTGACTTCTTCTGTAATGTTAGATGTTGTTGTTTCGCTCATGTTCTTTCACTAATGTTAAAAAGTTATGTTGTACGAATTTTGAACAGAATTTAGAGCAGTTATGAAACAATGAAGTACTTTTACGCTATTGAAAGGAACTATGAGAGTGAAGTACATGATAACAATGACAAAAGGAACTAATATCAAACCTAATGAAATCGCTCACGAGGACATAGAGCTTAACAAGTACTTTGTGGAGTATCTTATAAGTGAAGAGTATGTAAGACCTTACTTCATGTTTGACAGCATGAATGAGGATGTTATTTCATGGTTAAAGAATATAAGCAATGTTTTCGGTAAGTACGTCATAGATGACAAAGGTCTTGTTGTATTTTATGAGACAGCAATACGAACACAGGAACTAATGGATATTATGCACTCAACAGCAAAGAAAGGATTTAGTACTATTGGCATGAATGAACATTGCAGGAATGACATATACAACCTATGCTCACGAAAGCCTTACACAAAAGCAATACAAATGATAGAACATAAGTGTCTAAGGTCAGCAAATGAAATCATTACTGTCAGTGGTTATGAAAGAACTGTTAGCAAAGATGAGTGGAAACAGCTATTCATATTAAGGAAGGACGTTGCTGAACTAGTTAAACCTGTTGCACAAACATTGTTTCAGATAAGACCAGCAATGACTAAGAACCCTTTGACCTTAGTCAATGAGACCATAGAGGTTGAAGATAATGACATGAAAGAACTAGGAATGAATGAGAGAAGTTGTGAAGGATGTTTGAGTCAAAACACATGGTTCTTCAGAGCTGTTAAGAAACTTAGTAAAGAACGACAGAAATATTTTATAGAGAAGTATTGCAAAGGATGTGTAAATGAATTGCTTGAAATAGAACTTAGAGACACTTTCACACTAAAGGACTTGAGGAAAAATAAGTACATGAGTGAAGAAGGTATTGACATAGCTAGTGTTATAAATGACTTAAGAAGATGTGTTGTCGTTATTGACGGAGCACGTATGACATATCTAGTGAAAGATTATGATGGAATACGAGACACAACAACACTTGTGTCAGTAGATAGCAAGGAATTCAATAAGCTCATGAAGAGTGTTTATGTAGGACGTATTGAGGAGAAGGATGTGAACGCACTGATGATTTATGAAGCGGGTCAGAACAAGAACTATCTTATGAAGTCAGGCATGAGATTCTTTGACGAAAGAGATGACATTTACAGCTATTTCAGAGGATATGAGTATGAGGTACTGAATGAAGTAGATGAGCGTTATTGAAGGATATTTGAAACATGTTCACGATGTCATATGTAATGAGGATGAAGAGCTTTATGAGTATGTTTTGAACTGGTTCGCCTACATCGTTCAAAATCCTTGTGGAAAGACTGGAACAGTACTTTTGTTAATAGGAAAGCAAGGAACTGGTAAGAATGTACTTAGTAATGTTCTATGCGAGCTCATTAGCAAGTACGCCAACAATAATATAACGGCAATAGAGAATGTGGTTGGTAGATTCAATGCTGCTATTGAGAACATGAAGCTCATCGTATGCAATGAACTAAGCTCATGCGATACGTCTAAGGTCATGAACCACGACGCACTAAAGTCAATAGTAACAGAGACTCAGTTGGACTTAAATCAGAAGTGTCAGCCAGTAAGAAAGATAGAGAATGTTTGTAATATCATCATGATATCTAACAACTTCAACTCAGTAAAGATTGACAAAGACGACAGAAGATTTGTTGTCATTGACGTAAGCAGCAGATACAAAGGAAATTACGAATATTTCTCAAATCTCATTGAAAGCTTTAATGAAGAGTTTTATTCAAACTTACTGACGTACTTCATGAGAAAGATTTAAGTGAATTTGATGTAAGGAAGATACCATTCACCAGGGCTAAACAAGAACTCATCGAAATGAACAAAACACCTTACCAAATGTTTTACGAGGAGTTCTATGAAAAGTTTGTATCCGGATGGAATTGTACAGAGTGCTACAGAAGATATAAAGAATTTGCGAAGGAGAATGAATTCTTTGCATGTAGTTCAAATGTATTTGGTGGCAAGATGAGAGAATTTGTGAAGAGAAGTAGAAAGCGAGACGGTTCTGCAAGAAGTTATATTTACGAAGCAAGTATGATATTAGAAGGTCGTGGAAAGAAAGAAACAGTGAATTATGAGGAAGTGCTTGAAAAATTCATGGAGTACATGGGAAGCAATATAACATACAACAAAGACATATACAGTGAGTTTAAGTACTACTGTGAACAGCATGAGATTGAAGTAATGAGTAAAGGAGACTTTGAAACGCTTATGAAAGACAGTGAGGAGGTCATACATGAGAACAGTGATGAAATAGTTCATGAGAACAGTGAGGAGGTCATACATGAGAACAGTGATGAAATAGTTCATGAGAACAGTGAGGAGGTCGTTCATGAGAACAGTGATGAAATAGTTCATGATGTCGTTCGTGAAGAAGCCATTGCAACAAAGAATGAGATAAAGGATTTCATAGAACTTAACAAGGAGGAGTTTAAAGAAGGCTATGAAGTGAAAAGATGTGAAGAAGATTTCTTGGCGTATTTGAAGAAAAAGAGACTAAAGCCAATGGCTCAAAATAAGTTTCAATCGATGTTTGAAAAGAAACGTTTGAGCTATGGTGGTGTAAGAAGCACATATTACTTTGTTAAGAAGTGAGGACATTTATTTTTGTCGTTAGTGTTGGAGTTTGTGTTTGTTGTTAGTGAGAGAATAAATTAAATCATGAACTTTGCCATGGTCTCTGTCCCTAGTAGTTTTCATTAAGTTCTGGAAATAATGAAAGTCATAAACTTTGTCATGGTCTCTGTCCCTAGTAGTTTTCATTATCTCACAGAGTTAATGAAAGTCATACTTTCTATCAGATGAAGCATGCAGATGAACATAATGAAAGTTAGTGAGTTTGCCACGAGTTATGAATAAAATATTGGCATATTAGATGAGATAGCTGATGAAACAGATGAAGATAAATTAAATCATGGACTTTGCCACACTCTGTCCCTAGTTCCTCAAAATCCTTGACAACGTTGCTTAGAAATTTTGGTTCAAAACCTCATCTGATTTTAATCTGTTATGCTACCTGTTAAGTTTCGCGAGATTATAAATGTCATGGAGTTATAGAAAAAGGAGGGACAGCTAGGGACACTGGAAGTACTTGTAAGGCTATCTGTTAAGATTGCATGAAATACTAAAAAGTCATGAAATCCATTATCGCTGTGCTAGCTTCACCTTAGAGTAAAATGACGACTAAAGTCACTGAAGCAATGAAACAAAAGTTTTTGGTAGAATACATTAAATCAGGAACTATTCCAGAAGGTTTTTACATTCATACTATGAAGGATGGTAGAGTTCAGTTTAGAAAGATAAAGCAACCATTAGATAAAGAAGGAATTTTGAGAAAGATTAAACTTCATGAGGACAACATTGCTGAACTTAAGAAGAAGTTAGAAGAGTTGGAGAAAGGAAGAGAGTTATAAAGCAATGAATTCAAGTGGGTGAAAAACAGGTGAAAAAAGAGGTGAGATCTCACCTCTTCACCTAAATTTATTTTTGTGCTATGTTTTCATACGTGTGAGGGTGGTGATATCATTAATTTTAAGTTTATTTTTTATTTTATTTTTATTTTATTTTGGAGGTAAATGACGAAAACTATTGAGATAACAAACTACAACGGTCATGAGTTCAAGAATTTGTTCTTCGTTCCTCGTGAAAATACATTCTATCAGATACGAGGGAGAAAGGGTAAAGTTAGTTTGAGCGTTTATGAAGGAATGAAGAATGGAAAGTTTATACAAGCATACGATACAAACGGTAAGCGTGTTTCATTAGCTTTGTCAAAACTTACTAACATTTATTTTGACAGTGACTTTGACTCTGACGATTGGAGCGACAGCAGTGATACTGAAGAATATGAACTATTGTGTGAAGCACAGCAATGGGAAGAGTTGCAATACTTTTGTAAGTGAGAACGTTTATTTTTTACAGTAGTGAGGTGAAGTGGTTGGCGGCTTTATAAATATTTAAGGTTAAGTTAGTGTTGTCGTTTGTGTTGTAAAATATACGTTAGCAGTTTTGTAAAGTGTCAAATTCACAAGTATTGGGTAATGTGAAACGCAGTGCCACCATACACGAGACTTGTATACTAACTTACAGACACAAACTTCATTCTACGAAAGCCAATAGCTTTTGTGACAGATGGGTCTCTTAGCCATCTTAATGGGTAGTCAAAACGATAGCCTTCATGCTTTACGGTCTCTGTCTCAAACTTTTGACCGACATTAGTAAAAAGTTCATCTAATGGTTTAGTTGTAGCAACTCTTGAATTTTCTTTTTCTATTGGAAGCATATTTTATCTAGAATAAAAATGTCGAAAGATATTGCTTCCATGAGAGAAATACAACACAACCGACAACTCATTATGCAAGCTCTAAATAAGAACACAACAAACTTTTCAAACTATTCTAAGATATCTGAGTCATTGAAAGAAGGAAACTTAAAACTGACAATAAACCCAATGACAGATGAGTTTCTGTTTCAAGACAATAAGAACCATACTGTCTGTATAAATCCAACAAAAGGAACTTTAAACGAGAAACCTATAAATGAACTTCTTTTGAAAACAGATGTTGACAACAAAGCTGACAAAGAATATGTAGACGATGCAATAGCAAAAGAAGAAGAAAGAGCTAACAATGCTTATGCAACAAAAGAACATACTCATCCTGAACTAGCAGACAAAACATATGTTGACAATAAAATGTCAAGTGAAGTGACGAGAGCTGAAAACGAATATTCTAAAAAGACTCATACACATTCTATATCTGAAATAACAGACTTAAACGTTAGCCTTGAAAAGAAAGCGGATGAGGAATATGTGGCTAGTAAGTTAGAGAAGAAAGCGGATAAGGAATATGTGGATGAAAAAGATAATGAAATTATAGAAAGGGTTGAATGGTGTCATGAATGGACATCGAAGATTTTAAAAACTAAAGCTGATACAGGATGGGTTTCAGGATGTTTAGACCTTAAAGCAGATAAAACTTATGTTAACGATGAGTTAGAGAAGAAAGCAAATAAGACTCATACACATACAAGTTTTACAACTGTTGCTATAGAAAGTATTGAAGGAACGGTTGAAGAAACTGGTGGGGATGCATTATATTGTAAACCTCCTAACTTTCCACAAGGTTTAACATCGGATGACGACATAACGACGATGAGAAACATTAGATGTAAAGATGTTTATGTCATGAAGGATGAACATAATATTAAATTCACTGCTCAAGATTTATATGACAAGAAAGCAGACAAAACAGAGCTTCAAACATTAAAGACAGAAATGCTTCAAACATTATATCCTATAGGCTCTATTTATACGTCAATGAACTCTACCAGACCAGAAGTAGTACTTGGTTTTGGAACTTGGACTCAAATAGTCGACAGGTTTTTGTATTGTGCAAACTCTTCAAAGGAAACAGGTGGAAGTAAAACGATTTCAGGTGAAAATTTACCTGCACATAGTCACTACATAGATTTAAGTACATCTCAAGCAGGTTGGCATAAGCATAGATATTGGGATTGGTCAGCAATGACAAAAGGTAAAGGATATGATGTTAAAGACAACGTTCAGTTTGCTATAAATTGTTTCTGGAGTAACACTGAGGGAGGAGGAAACCATACACATCGCGTTTCAGGATATACGCAAACAACGGGACAAAGTAAAGACTACATGCCACCTTACATGACAGTTTACGCATGGTATAGAAATGCTTAGTCGTCATTTTCAACTTCTTTAGCATATTCGTCAGGAGTTGTCTTATATTTGTTAGGAACTGTCTTTGAAAGTATACCACCTTGAACTTTGACAAGTTTGAAACGAGGTCTGACAATAGTAGTTTTATCTTCTGCTTGCAGTGTGTACATTTTGCCATGTTTGCCTAAAACTTCATAATATTCTCTTGTATACTTTCTTCTATTTTTACGAACACGAATGTGAGTACCTGTCGGGTTCCCATTGTTGTCATAGTCAATAGTATTTTCATATGGGTCGCGTTTAGGTATTTCTATTTTTACTTTGTCACCTTTCTGAAGTTTGAAGCCCGGCATTCTTTCTTGTTTGTCTCTTTTGACTAAATTATTAAATATATAGTCTTTCTCTAAGTCAGGGTTGTTTTTCATTTCTTCGGGGGAGTGGTTTCCCAAACCTTTTTGTTTACGGCTATTGTAAATATTTAAAACTTGTCTCATCTTTGCCATGGAGAAGTGTCTATATTTGTCGTCATATGACATTTCATTTGCTTCACCACCTTGTGGTTGGTTTAAGTCTCTTAACATTTTTATACAACCGTCAATGACACCAAGAGCAGAATGGTTTTGGTCGACAATGAAATATTGGTTTACATTTTTTGAACGCAGATAGTTTTTTACATCATCTGATTTGAAAGAACTTTCACAGTCAGATGTCAGTTTTGTTGGATGGTATTTGTCAACGAATATTGTCAAAGCAGTTTTCACATCTAAAATATTTTTGGACCATAATGGTATGGCTTCACAGTATCTTGTGTTTTGACCGACAAATATTAGCCAGTATGGTGGTCCATCTGTTCTAACTCTCGGAATGTTTTCCAAGATATCCATAAACCAAGCATTTGGTGTTGAACTAAAGATTTTTACCATGAGTGCTTTCTTTGTCGCTTTAGAAACATAGGGGTCCTTGTTTGGATTCGTCATTTTTTATCCTATAAGAAATGGGTTTATTTGGCGCATTAGCAGGAGTTGCATCCAGATTTTTGCCCGCAGTGGGAACAATAGCCAGAGGTGTATTTGGAGTTGGAAGGAAGATTTTGAGTACATTAGGTATACTTAAAGAGAAAGCACAACCTATTATACAAACTGTACAGAAAGGTTGGGATGTAGCACGAGATGCAACAAATCTTATTCCAAATCCTGAAACAAGAGGAAAAGTTCAAGGATGGATGGACAATGTAGGAAGACAAGCAGGAAACTATTATAACAAAGCAAATGACTACTATAACCAAGCAGGACACTATATGGACCAAGGTGAAAGATTCTTTAACAGAGGATATAACCATGCACAACAATGGGTAAACAATAACCAACCTCAACCGCCTCAAACGTGGGGAATGTAAAGTTTTTTACTGAGATGAAATGAACAATACAGCATTGAGACAAATGGGTTCAAGATGGATTTGTCGGCTTCCAGCAGTTACACCACGTGTTTGTCAAGTTCTTCCTATACCTCGGGAAGTTTTAGACCGACTTAAAAAACAACAACAACCAGTTGAAAACAAACCAAACTAAAATTTTTTACTGAGATGAAATGACCGAAGAAGTTGAAACGGTAGATTTGACACCACAAACAAAAAGTTCAGAACCATTGTCAAAACCTGTCAAAGAACTTACAGATGAAGAGAAAAATTCAATAATAGAAAGTGCCAGGTCTGGAAATACAAACCCTAACTACAAAGTCACTTTTCATAAAAATGGAACGGCAAGTATCTCAAAAAAGAAACAGACTCTCACAAATAAAATATTGAAGTCTGAAGGAGCTTTCGAGACAACAGATGGAAAAGTTTACTTCACTGACCAACAGTTCATTATAGAACATCTCATTGACTTAGAGTCGAAATATTCTAAACTTTACAACAAACACAAAAAGTTGAAAGGAAAACAAAAACAAATGGCATATGATATTTATGAAGATGTTGACGACACAACTGTTCCTGCAAGTGAAGTAAAGTCAGAGAAACCGAAAAGTGACGAAAAACCGATAGAAGAAGAAAAACCAAAAACTGAAGATAAACCAAAACCAAAGTTTAGTTTGGAAACTAAACCAAGTCAACCTTCATTAGCTGGTATGGGTTGGCGTCAAAGACTTATGGCAGCAGGCGGTTATGTAAAGTAAAGAAAAAAATATTTTTTTATTTTTATAAAAATGCCCCCATATAGAATGGATAGAAAATCTGCTAGAATAAAAGCAGAGTTGCAAAGATATGGTTGGAGAGTTTCGAAGAAGTTTAAATATAGGAAGGGAAGACCCATAAAAGTCTATGACAAATTGTCTGGTCTTCGCTACGAAATGGATTTGGAAACAGCACGTGCAAATTATCCAAACAGACTAGAGAGGTTAGAAGAAGAACGTCTTATGGACATGCCTTTCGATGTGTTAAACATTGCATGAAATAAAAAAATTTATTTTAAAAAAAGTGACATTTTTTTTATTTTATTTGAAATGTACGCTGAGTTTGTTGGAGAAGACCGTTGGGAAACTTGTTTGTTAGATGAGAAATATGAAATGGCATACCATTTTAAAACAATATATTTTTACATATATTAAATGCTTCAGGTTGAAAAACAAAGAACAAAAGTAGCAGATACAAAACCGTTAGACTATATCTTTACAAATGCTGGTAGGACTATTTCAGATGAAGAAATTTCATCCCGAACATACAGGTTTGACTATCCAATTCGTTGGCTTCAAAGTCCTTCAGATGCAAAGGCAATAGGATTTAGAAGAGTTTTGTTTTCAAATAGAACTAACGCATTTATGTTCGCAGTATATTTTCATGGGCAGTATAAAGGTTCTGATGGTCTAATAGACAAATTTGACGAAATGAGAATCTTTACAGTTCGTTCAGACGAAAGTCTTGAGAAAACTCTAAATGACTTTCAAACTCAAATGAACAAATATTATTGGGAATTTCAAGAAAAATACGACTCTTTACTAAATGGAACATACTATCTGAAACTAGAATATGACAAGATGAACTCCACCGTTTCATTTCAAAAGATTGAAATTAACCCTCCAAGAGATACAGAGTTTTTATTTTGGAAAGTAGACAAACGTTCTTGGGCACAATTTCTTCGGTTACTAAACCAGAACGAACCATTACCACCAGATGGTCCATTTAAATTTATACTTCCACCAGCAGATTTGACAGTTTATAGAAACGTGTTTGACCCTCAAAATGTTATGTGTCATGCAAGTTTCAGTTCAAGCAACAATAGTTTTCTATGTATTGGTAAGGACTTTTATGACTTTGCTTCTAAATTCTACGAACCACCTAGTAACAGTTTCTCTGACTTTCAAGTTTGGTTCACAACAAATGGTGTGCAACATATTATTCCATTGTACTATGACTTTTATCTCGAATTGTCTTTCATATATAACTACGGAAAAGTGCTGAAAAAGTATTGAATGTGAAGATATTAGAAAATAACATTTTTTCTAACATCGTAGAAAACTCATGAAAACAATTTATTTTTGACACTTTCACAAAAAACATAAAAAAGTGCAGTTAAACGTTAAGGTTTACTGAACTGGTTGGATGTCGCCTTCACAGGTTATGTAGAATGGTTGACCCGAGAAGCGAAGGAGAGACTGAATTGCCAATTTCATATGGGGTAGGGGGTTCTCCTTGTTTGGTATTTTTATCCAAGGACGTTTGTTTAGGAACTTTATAATGGCTTCCTTCTTTGCTTGCTTTATGTCGTCGAAAGGAGTGTTTTCTGGTATTTGAATTGGAATTCCGGTCGAAGTCTCGAGATTCAAGACAGCCCTTCCAGAAATAGTGGTGAACTTGACCTTGGGCTTCATGACCTTGCGCAAGTAGTCTTTAACAAGCTCGTTAATTTCAATTAGGTAAATTGCCTCGTCAAATCCTTCTGGCATTCCGAGTCCTTCCATCCGACAGGAAAATATTTTCCCGACAACTGGAAAAAATTTTCCTTCCAACAGAAAAAATTTTTCCTTCCGACAGGAAGAACTCTTCCAGTTGTCCGTCCGTAAACCATTCAAATTTTCGAAAATTGAGAACTTTTTGGTCGAACTTCAGAAAAAGTTTTTCCTTCCAACAGAAAAAGTTTTTCCTTCCGACAGGAAAAAATTTTCCTTCCGACAGGAAAAGTTCTTCCTTCCGACAGGAAAAGTTCTTCCTTCCGACAGGAAAAGTTCTTCCTTCCGACAGGAAAAGTTCTTCCTTCCGACAGGACACAAACGAATGTCCCACGTCCCACCAACCCAGTCCATTCCCAAACCAGAGGAACCTAAAGAACCACAACAGTCTCCTCAGCAAGCTCAGTTCCAGCAAGTACCTCCACCAAATTACTACCAATTTCCACCTCAAGGTTACTACCCACCACAAGGCTTCCCGAACTACCCTCCTCTGCCTATGCCTTACTTCCCCAACCCTTGGATGTTCCAGCAAGCTCCACCTCAGCAATTCCAATCTCAATCCAAATCGAAGAGAGACCAAGAGTTCGAAGAAGGTCTGAACCGTTTACGCAAAGAGTATGCTACAGCTCCAATTGAGAGAAAGTTGTTCCCGGACCAAAAATATAATTTAGGTGAAGAGGTGAGATCTCACCTGTTTTTTCACCTCTTTTTTCACCCTCTTGAATTTGTCATGAATTTCCTTAAGATAGAAAAAATAAAGTTAGTTTTATTTTGTATTTTTTTGTATGTAAGATATGATTTCAGGGATTTTTTTGACGAAGTGTCAACCTTCACTTCGTCAAAAAATAACAGTTATCTAATGAAAAAGTGTCATTTTTTTGTATTTGACGAGAATGTCGGGTAGATGGTTAGATCTAACACGTTTTCTAACACGTTTTCTAACCTCTTGAATTTTCATGACTTCTTCATCGTAATGAGCGTAAATGTTTTGTCATGATTTCATCGTAAATGTTTTGTCAAGACTTCTTCGTATATGTTTTGTCATGACTTCATCGTACATGTTTTGTCAAGACTTCTTCATCGTAATGAGCGTAAATGTTTTGTGAAGAATATAGCAACAGTCTGAATTCCGACGGTTGCTTTTTATACAAAATTCATGCAGGAAATTCTTGAGTTTTGGTTGAAAGAATACGGTGGAGCCAAAAGTGGCTCGACCTCAAAACAAGCATTTTATGAGCTTACTAAGGGTGTTATGAATGAATTCAAATGTATTTACATACATCCTGACCTCGTTCATTTTGTTGCTGAATTCAGCAAAAATATAATTTAGGTGAAGAGGTGAGATCTCACCTGTTTTCTCACCCTCTTGAATTTTCATGAATTTCCTTAGGATAGAAAAAATAAAGTTAGTTTTATTTTATTTATTTTGTATTTTTTTGTATGTAAAGACATGATTTCAGGGATTTTTTTGACGAAGTGTAAACCTTCACTTCGTCAAAAAATAACAGTTATCTAATGAAAAAGTGTCATTTTTTGTATTTTTTTGTATGTAAAGACATGATTTCAGGGATTTTTTTGACGAAGTGTAAACCTTCACTTCGTCAAAAAATAACAGTTATCTAATGAAAAAGTGTCATTTTTCAGCAAAAATAATGTTTAGGTGAAGAGGTGAGATCTCACCTGTTTTTTCACCTCTTTTTTCACCTCTTGAATTTTCATGAATTTTCCCGAAATAAAAAATAAAGTTAGTTTTATTTTTTTTTATTTTTTTATTTTGTATAAAAAATAAAAATGTCAACAATCGGCACAACAACAATTCAAACAACAGCACCAAACTCTTTAGTCATGAATCCAACATCTATGTTAGTAGAGATGAAAAGCTTCATTCCTTCTTCATATACTTTTGAAACAGAAATCCAGAAGATAAAGCAAGAACTTTTAACATGTAATTTAGACTGTAGTGCGAAAGATGAAACAAATGAACAGTATCTTTATGAAATGCAGGACCTCATCGACCATTTACCCAAATTGCCTGAAATCCAACAACAAAAGCTCACTATTCCTGAATTCGATGAAATAGAAGTGAAACCAACTGACTCAGTAGAAATAAAGAAGTTCATACGAAAGGTAAACTATGAGTTTCTAGGATTTCATTGCAACCATAAGGTTATGGACAAAGATTGCGACATGGTATATAAGAATGTTTCTGACATATATAAATCTGAAGAATTTAAGACCTACGACAACTTTGTTTCGTTAGTTGCTGAATGTGTATGGCAGATAAGAGATGAAGATAGAAGAGGTAAAGTATGGAACAAACAAATAAGACCCGCTATGTTTGAGATGAAGAGAGCAATTGACGTTTAGTTGTTTTAGCAGGTAAGGTTTCAGAATATAACGCAAAAATGAACCCGCAATGTTCTAAATGTAAAGCAGCAATGAGGAAATATAACTACTCCGTCAAAGAGATAGAAAGAATGAGAAACGACTATGCAGACTTAAAGAAAGAAGCAGAAAAGCCAGCAGAAGATAAAATGGACATGTTAGAATTTCTGAACAAAAACTATCCAACAGCAGAAGATTTCCTTCTATCTGACGTCAAGAAGAAATATAAAGAAACCTTCGGTATCGTTAAAACATTCGATGTACTAAAAGAAGAAATAGAGGCTACAAAACTGTTTAAAGTCTCACGAATTCATAACGTTTACCATGTAAAACGCTTATAAATAACTGGGGTAGAAAAGAGGTGAGAAAACAGGTGAGATCTCACATGCTAACATAAAATATATTTTTGCTATCTTAAGGAAATTCACGAAAATTCATGAGTTTTGTGTGTTTTAGACCATGTTAGAAAACAGGTTAGAAAACAGGTTAGATCTAACCATCTACCCTAAATTATATTTTTGGGTCCTTTACACTCATTACGATGAAGTCTTGACAAAACATTTACGAAGAAGTCATGAAAATTCAAGAGGTTAGAAAAGAGGTTAGAAATGAGGTTAGATCTAACCATCTACCCTAAAATATATTTTTGCTGAATTCCGTATGAAAATTCATGAGTTTTGTGTGTTTTAGACCATGTTAGAAAAGAGGTGAGAAAACAGGTTAGATCTAACCATCTACCCTAAAATATATTTTTGGTCATTTACGATGAAGTCTTGACAAAAACTATCCAACAGCAGAAAATTTCCTTCTATCTGACGTCAAGAAGAAATATAAAGAAACTTTCGGCATTGTTAAAACATTCGATGTACTAAAAGAAGAAATAGAAGCTACAAAACTGTTTAGGATTTCAAATATACATCGTACAATTCATGTAAAACGCTTGTGAAAAAAAGAGGTTAGAAAACAGGTGAGAAAACAGGTGAGATCTCACCTCTTCACCTAAAATATATTTTTGCTGAAAAATGACCAAATTTCATGAATTTCCTTAAGACAGAAAAAATAAAGTTAGTTTTATTTTTATTTATTTTTTTATTTTGTATGTAAGAACAGAAATGACAAACATTGAGTTTGAAACAGTTAAAAAGATAGACAATGACACCAAAGTGGTTAGAATAGGTGATTTAAACGTAAGATACTCAAAGAAATACAACAAATATTCTTTGTCAGACATTATATCTCCATCTGGAAAGAAACCGAAGGACTGGGTTAGAATTGCTTCTACTCAGAAAATTTTGACAAGAAATCCTGAGCTTATAATATCGGTAAGATTCTATGGAACTACAGCATATCTCATTGACAAAAGTCTTATACCAATAGTTTTGTTATGGTTAGACCCAGTTGTTGGATATAACTTCATAACATATGGTTCATTCGATACGGAACGTTGCAGTGAAGGCTTACTTTACATCGTTCAGAAACCGAAGGACTTCAACACAAAAAGATATAAGATAGGAAGAACATATAATATAACTCTAAGATATGACAGTACAGTCAATAGAGTCAAGGTTGTGTTCGTTAATGATATGAGAGCTGCAGAAACAGAACTACTTGAAAAGTTTGAGAAAATGTATGGTGCTCCCATAAAAGGTAAAGAAACGTTTGAAGTAGATGAGATAGATAAAGCTATAAAATTATTTGACGAAGTTGCTGAAAAATACATGTAAAGCGTTTATTTTTGGTCTTTTGTGAAAGATAGAAAAAATAACGCTAATTTTTTATAAAATTTGACGAAGTGCAAACCTTCACTTCGTGTCATAGTGTAAAAATAACGCTAATTTTTTATAAAATTTGACGAAGTGCAAACCTTCACTTCGTGTCATAATGTAAAAATAACGCTAATTTTTGACGAAGTGCAAACCTTCACTTCGTGTCATAATGTAAAAATAACGCTAATTTTTGACGAAGTGCAAACCTTCACTTCGTGTCATAATGTAAAAATAACGCTAAAATTTGACGAAGTGCAAACCTTCACTTCGTGTCATAATGTAAAAATAACGCTAATTTTTGACGAAGTGCAAACCTTCACTTCGTGTCATAATGTAAAAATAACGTTTACCATGTAAAACGGTTGTGAAAAAAAGAGGTGAGAAAACAGGTGAGAAAACAGGTGAGATCTCACCTCTTCACCTAAAATATATTTTTGCTGAAAAATGACCAAATTTCATGAATTTCCTCATATGCTTGCTTCCCTCGGAAAACCGAGAGAAGAGATTCCGTACGAAAATCATGAAGAACAGCGAGTAGGTAAAAAAACTTAGTCGCCAAAACTCTATGAAAACAGTGAAGAACAGCGAGTACGTAAAAAAACGTAGTCGCCAAAACTCTATGAAAACAGTGAAGAACAGCGAGTACGTAAAAAAACGTAGTCGCCAAAACTCTATGAAAATCATGAATTTCCTTAAGATAGAAAAAATAACGCTAATTTTTTTATAAAATATTTTTTTATTTTGTATGTAAAGACAGATATGTCAACAACAGAGAACACAACAACTGCTATCGTTCATGAAGCTATAAATGAAGAATATGAGTACATACAGTATAACAAACAACTCCGTCTCATTCGTTCGGTCAAAGACGATATGTACCAAATGCAAAGTATTTTGACAGCATGTTTTGCTCCAGATACCAAACATACAGACGATTGGTTCAAAAACCAAAGCACACAAGAACTTTTGAGCGAAGCACAGCGAGACCGACTTTTTTCTGGGTCGCCAAAACTCTATGAAAATCGTGAAAAATTGCCAAACGGTTTGAGAGGATATTATGTACATAGACTTCTTGTAAATGCTGTTGCAATGTGGGCTTCGCCTCGTTATGCTTGGTATATTTACAGACTTCTTGACGAAATTCATAGACAAGAACGTGAAGAGATGGAAAACAAGCTTGAAGCAAAAGACAAAAGCATTCAGAAAAGAATACCACGTTCGGTACCAAAAGGAAAGGAAAAGAACTATAAGTATATGATTTATACTGAAGAGATGGAAAATGAAGAAGATAAAGATATGGTTATGTTGCATTTAGTCAGAAGAAACAACAAAAGCTTTTACGACCTTGCTAAGATTTACAAATCTGACAGAAATTGGTTCTATCGCGAAAACTTACCGATTTCAATGACACCGAATGAAGATGTGAAACAAATAGTTCAAGATACGTTACCTCAAACACACTATGATATGAAAGGTTGTACAATACTTACATTCAAAGAAGACTTACCGCTACTGAAAGAAAAAATAACAGAGTATTTTGACAACTTCAAACAAGTAGAGTAAATGAACTCTTTATTTTTCAAGCTTGACTTTTTACAATTTGAACTTTGTTGCTGAATTCAGTAAAAATATAATTTAGGGTAGAAGGTTAGATCTAACCTGTTTTCTCACCTGTTTTCTACCCTCTTGAATTTTCATGAATTTTATATATATTAATGTTTTCGTTATGCCACTTTGTGCCGTCAGTCAGTCAGTTTAGGAAATTTACACCAAAAAATAATGTTTAGGGTAGAAGGTGAGATCTCACCTGTTTTTTCACCTCTTTTTTCACCTCTTGAATTTTCATGAATTTTCCCGAAATAAAAAATAAAGTTAGTTTTATTTTTTTATATTTTTTATTTTTTTTAGAATTTCTGAACAAAAACTATCCAACAGCAGAAGATTTCCTTCTATCTGACGTCAAGAAGAAGTATAAAGAAACTTTCGGTATCGTTAAAACATTCGATGTACTAAAAGAAGAAATAGAAGCTACGAAACTGTTTAGAGTCTCACGAATTCATAACGTTTACCATGTGAAACGCTTATAAAATAACTGGGGTAGAAAAGAGGGTAGAAATGAGGTTAGATCTAACCTTCTACCCTAAACATTATTTTTGCTGAATTCAGCAACAAAATTCTGAGTAAAATAATTTTTAGGGCATGTGTCAAACCGTTGAGTTTTCACAAAATTTAAAAAATAACGTTTACCATGTAAAACGCTTATAAAATAACAGGTGAGAAAACAGGTGAGATCTCACCTTCTACCCTAAACATTATTTTTGCTGAATTCAGCAACAAAATTCTTGATTTCAGGGATTTTTTTGACGAAGTGCAAACCTTCACTTCGTCAAAAAATGGCATATGCTTGCTTCCCTCGGAAAACCGAGAGAAGAGATTCCGTATGAAAACAGTGAAGAACAGCGAGACCGACTTTTTTCTGGGTCGCCTAAAACTCATGAAAATCGTGAAAAATAACAGAGTATTTTGACAACTTCAAACAAGCAGGGTAGATGAACTCTTTATTTTTATTGACTTTTTACAATTTGAACTTTGTTTGCGTAGATATGAATTCTGAAAGAAGTATGAGGGTCTTGTATGACTTTGTACTTCTCCCATAGTTCATGTCTGTCAAACTTACCTGCCATGGACTCTTTCATAAGTTCCATGAAATCGTCTTCGGACAATCCGGGGAAAAGTACAATGTCAGTAAGTATTCTCTTTACATCCTTACTTAAACTCTTTGCTGTCTGTACACAAATGACAACTGAGATGTTAAAGTGTCTGAGCTTCTTAAGAATTCGACACATATCTTGTTCTCTATTCTTAAGCAAAGGATGAGAAGCAAAGTCATCTAAGATAAGAAGACACCTATGAGGGTATGTCTTCCAATCGTAAGATTGCAATTTCTTCGAAATGTATTCTATCTCTTTCTGTTTGTTTCTGAAGTGTTTCTTCTCTAATATTCTCTGCATTTCCTCATTTGGGTCTTTAAACTTAGAATTTATATACTCATTTATAGCATTATACTTCAAAACTCTTCTTTGGTACTTCTTTATCCAATCTAACAACTCAGAGTCTTTTATACATACTAACTTAGACTTCTTTATAATATCTTTGAACGAATTGACGGTTTGGTCAAATTGACCAGAAGTACTACAAATGACAACTAACTCATAGAATGGGTTCTTCTCATCTAGTTCTTGTTGTTGTGCAGCCATTTTAAGATAAGTGAAAGTCTTACCCGACCCAGGTGGTGCAATTAGACCTGTTATACCATTCTGAGCAAATAAGAACTTGTCATGTATAGGTTTTATCTGAGCATTTTCTAACTTCCTCTTGTTCTTGTTTAAAACATTCTCAAATTTTTTGTCAATGTCAGCAAACTTTTTTTCTAACATATTTTTAGAAAAATTAAAATTTTTATCTTTTAGAAAATGTCTAGCGATTTCGCTATCTATATTCGAGACAAGCTTTTCGACAGCAAAACATCTGTCGACCATAAAATCTTACATAGTGTAAACAAGAAAGGGGAATTTGTTCTAAAGTTCTGTTTCTGGGAATATGACAAGAACCATAAAACATTAAGCAGAGAAGTCTTAAAATTTGTCAATGACAGACTTGTTGACAGAGATGACGCCTCTTGGAGAGATGAAGTCCAACAAAAGTTCTTAGAATGCAAAGAAGACACATGCGCTGTTCTTGAAGATGAAATAGAAAACAGAATAGATGAGCTATTAAAGGACAAAGAACTTTTACATAAATATAGTTGCGCCAAATTTGACATAACTCCACCAGAAAAGAAGAAGAAAGAAAAAAAGAAAGAAAAGAAAGTAGAAGAAGAGAAGAAAGAACCTGAACCAGTTCCAGAGAAAAAGAAATTTGACATGTAAAAATAAAATTTTATTTTTAGAACATTTCTGGGTCAATGTCAATGTTCTCTTCCTCTTTAGGAGCAAACACTGGCTTAGACTCTAAAATCTTTTTACCCAATTTACCTTGAACTTCAACTATCTTAGACTCATAATATTCATAGTCGTCTGCTTTCTTTGGTTCATAAGGTATAACAAGTTTGTATGCTTTGCCTTCTTTAAGGTTTGAAAACCTTCTGTCAAAACTTTCTTTGACTGCTAACAAACCTTCTATGTCTAAGTCTTCAAATTTCGCACCATTTTTAGTCACAATAGCAAACTTAACTGGTTCGATGTTCCAAACTTTGCTGAATGAAGACTTTTCAAAATGGTAGAAGTAAACATTCAAATATGTGAATGGGTCTAGTTCTTCTTTAAGTCCTGACATGTACTTATTTACTGAGATGAATTTTGCCATCTTTTTCTATCGGATAAAAAAAATATTTTTTTTAAAATTTACTCATAAAAATTTTTCTTTGTATATACACCATTCTGTACGTCTAAAAGACTTTTGACATTTGCCAAGAATGTTCGTTTAGACGCTGTCATATAACCATATTCTTGACAATATTGTTTATACGAATCGTACAATGACCTTTCATCTAAACACTCAAAGTCAGTTTCATCTATGAACAGTTCATATACACTCTTGTTTGCTTCTAACAATGTTTGTCTCTCTTCGGTATGTGGAATTTGTCTTGGATTGAACTTAGAAATATCTAATGTCATAAAATATGAGAACAAGTGGTTGTAAAAGTCAGATGTCAAAGTTTCTGCTAAGTCGTCAAAATATTCTGTATCTTGCATATGAGCTTCTGACGTTCTGACAACTACATATCTTCTGTCAGAACTTTCTAACTTCATCGGAACAGCATTGTTTGAAACCATAATGAAGTTTGCAACATTTTCACAAACTCTTTGGTCTTTATACTTTCTTTCAACAACTCCAACTTTGTCTGTTATAAGACTCTTCAAAGCATCTGAGTTCAAAACTTTTGTTGTATCTATACTTTGAAGTTCATTGCAAACTATAAGTTTCATATTCTCTATTGAGAAGTTAAACTTGCCACAGATGTTTTCTAAGTTTGTCATATTCGGGTTCGAATAGCCTTCTAACAGTTTGCACAAAATATCTGTAAAGAATGTGTTCTTACCAGTTCCTTGTTTTCCAATTATAATGAGAGCAGTTTCATTTTTAGCACTTGGATGTTGTAAGATGTTTGCAAACCAACATAAGATATACTCATAGACTCTTTCGTTTCCATTGCATATAATTTCTTTGACATGGTCTAACCAAGCTTCTATAATATTTTCTTTCCATTCTACTTGTTCGTATTTATATCCAGTGAAGATAGAATAGAAGTTTGGAGAAGGTGTATAAAACTTTATACCTCGAACTGAAAAATCTTCTAACTTTGACAATAAGATATCCCAAGCATCTAACATCTTCATGCCAACTTGTACGACTTTTATTTTCTTAAGTTTCTGTCTACATTCTTGTTCTGAAACTATTGTCGCTTTAGGTTTGTTAAAGACTACATCCCATTCTTTCATAACATAACATTCTGGGGCAGAGTCAACATAAATGACTAAACGTTTCAAATTCTCGACTGCTTTGTTATAGTCTCTAAATGGACACATATTTCTGAATGCTTGGAAGTCATAAAAATCTGAAACATCTATTCTGTACATTTTTATAAAAATAAAAAAAATATTTTTTTTATTCTTGACTTTGTTGTTGCATTTGTTGCATTTGTTGTTCTTGAGCTATTTGTTGTTGAAGTTGTTCTTGTAATACAATACTTTCACCAGTTGCATCTTCCAATTCGAAACTTTCTGCCGTCATTGACAAATACATAGGACATAAAAGTTTTACAGGAACAAAGTTTGCGTCAACTAATGTCAACGTTATACTTGCCAAAGTGTTTGAGTTCACTAAGGTTGAAAATTCTGCATTCGAATGAACAATAGGCAAACCAGCAGAGAGAAAGTATTGTTTATACGCATAAGTATCTTTTGGTCATAATAGTTTCTGTCAACATTCGAATAACACTTTGAACCTAAGTTTGAAACAATATATAAGATTGGTGTGCTTAATGTCAATGGAATAGACATTCCTTGTATGACACCTTTTCCTGTTATAGGAAACTGTTGGTAGTAAAAAACCAGAAATAAGTTTTGTATTATAGCTCATATCGTTTATAGTAAACTCAGTCGGACATCCAAACATAATGAAACCTGCTCTAGTTGCAGCACATGTTACACCCGTCCTTAAAGTATTAAATAAGTCAACAAAACCTGTTGGTGGTATATCTGAGTAAGTATCTTCAAAGGAGTATTTTTTACCATTCACAACAATAAAGTCTTCTGGTGTCAAAAGAGCAAAACAGGCTTTAGTCGTCATTGTGTTTAAGGTTAGTTTACAATATCGTCCTTGAGGACTTTGTAAGTTTTGTTGTTATAGAATTATATGACTCAGGGTTTTTAGTCGTAATAGTATAAACCATTATATCTTCTGCCATTTACTTAGCAAATAAATTTTAATGAAATGTTGTGGTCGTCAAATATTTTTATGACGTCTGGGAAACTATACTTTAAGTTCAACGTTTCACCTCCTTTCATAACGTATATCTTGTCAATGACATTATATGAAACACCACAGCAACTAATGTCGGGTTCTATTTCTTTGATGTTTATATCGTCTGCCTCTGTCAAAAGTTTCAATAGTTCTTTCAAGACTTCATGAGGTGCAATGACATATGAGTTCACTTTTACAGGGTTGTGTTCGACCAAGTTTAACATTATACTTAAAGCTTGACAAATCTTCTCCTGAGTTTGAAGTTTGTCTTTCAGTTGTTGGTAGTCGTTTCGAATATCTGCAACAGAACTTAAGTCTCTGCTAACTTCAGGATATGTTGGTTGTTCTTTTACAGGAACAATTGTTATACCATCTTCGTCCTCGTATGGTTTCCCCACTTCAACATCTCTGTCTTTGACATTGACAATAACACTTTGACTGTTTGTTTGAGTTGGTGAATTTAACTTCACATCTGCCACCGCCATTAAACCTTTTGAAACACTCACGCTTCTATTTTTCGGAAATGACATTTTACTTAGAATAAAAAGATGGACGTATTCGAGTATCTCTTCGAATTGAAGCAGAACAAAGTTTATACTCACAAACAATACAAATACATTGACAGAATAGTTCTTTATACAAACAATGGTAAATGTTATGAATAGCAGTCTTTGCTGAACCAAAATATTTCCATAAAGCAAAGAAAGTTGGTATAACTGAAATGGTGAAAGTTCTTGAAGCAGACAAAAATATAACTTCAAAACTTACAGATATTTCTAAAGGTAAGTTTATCTTACAATATTATGTCAAAACTGGCGTACTGTCAATTTGACGGAGAGAAGTCAGTTCAAGAACAACTTACTGACCTGCTGCCAAAATCTGCTCGATGGAAGCTGTCGTTATGCCAATCTGAGGAGCCCCAGCAGGTTTCATCGAACGAATCTTCAAAAGAGCATCTTCCGTGAAAAGTGCTATTGGTTTTGTAAACTTCTTTGCTCTCAGTTCATCTGGACCGTCTCTGTCACCAGTATATTGTATTTGTACAGTACCAACAGTTGAAATACCACCCATAAAGTCTTCTGAGTCAGCAAATGGAATGCCAAGCCAAAAGTTTGAACGGTCTCCATTTGTATATTGAGTTTTTTGACCTCCTGTATGAGTCCATACTTTCACATATGGCATAATAGAACTTTGCATTTCAGGGTTAATGGTCGTTGTGAAGTTGTTGTTAAAGTTCATAGCATCTAATGTCAAGTTGTATGACCTCATATCCTCAACTGTAGAATATTCTTCTCTTGGATAATATTTGCCATCTATGTTTATATGATATTTAATACGGGGTTGTAGAAACAAGAATAGTCATTTATAGTTCGTCTGAACAGTACAAACATAGTATCTGCATGTTTCATTGCAGTTGTTAAAGCAATATCTGTTCTTGCACCTGGGTCAGCACTTTGGTTTCCAACTTCACCTGCAAAGTCTTTGACAGATATTTGGTGTATAGGGAACATAAGTGGAACTGCAATATATTTGGCAGCTAAAGCATTTGAAATATCTGGGTCCAACATATAGACTGCAAGTCTGCTTTCTATTCTCTTGCATTCAAACTTTTCGCATGTAAACTTAACTGGGTCCCAAGCAGTTCCAGCAGCATTGAAATAATAGTTTACTTCATTGTTGAAGTTTGAGAAACCAAAGTCTAAGTCAACTTTGTCTTTGCAAAATTCGGCGAATGACGTTTGATTTGTTCCCTTTACGTCTGTAATAGTGAATGGGTCTTGTGTTGGTGCAATGACTAAGTTATTTTTGCTTGGAGTAAGTTCAATAGAAATTTTTCCTGCCCAGTTTGGCAAGTATCTTAAAAACCTGAAGATGAGGAAAGATGACAAAGGAACTCTAAGTTTCAGTTTTACTTTGGTTACTGCTGCTGCAGTTTGTCCAGAAAGGTCAACATAAACTCCTGGAACGTTAGGGTCAAGTCTTCTTATTTTCTCAATATTTGCATACTGGTCTGTTTGTTCTCTAGCTTGTGGTTGTACTGAGTTTCTCAAAGCGAACCATTCATAGTTTGCCCATGTTACTGTTTGAACTAAGTCAGAGTTAGAATATATCTTATATCCCATGAAAACTTCTGGAGCATATTGGTATCCGACATAGAAAATTCCATTGCAACCTTTCTTGTCAGACAACTTGGCAGAAGGTTTTATTTCAATGTCTTGTTCCACGTATAAGAATGAGTTGTCAATAGAAATAATATGAAACCTGTCGCAAGCAATATCTACTGTTGTTGAAGAACCTTCTCCAAACTCACCTACGTTTCCATAAGAAACAGCAGTTGTATATTCGTAAGTTCCAGGAACTATTTCTGACCTTCTAATGGCATTGTCGCATTCGTTATACCATTCGGAAACATTTCCGTTCATGGCATCCAAAACTGTTGGCGTTATATTCTGAGCGGCGTACATTTCATATGGGTAAAAATATAGAATAGTTGGATTTATGTGTCATAATAGAACCCACTCGTACCAAGCTTCACTTTCTTCCTGACTGAGTTTTTAACTCTTCTTTTTCCTTCATTGCCACTACTTTCACTAGATGAAGTTACTTCTTCACTACTTTCACTTTGTTCTACTCTTCTCTTCTTCTTTGGTGTCGCTTTTGGTAACTTGCCCTCTGCTTCAAGTTGTTGCATCTTTGCCTCATGTTCACCTAGTATGTTGTAAATTTCCCATGTCCTTTTTGCCTTTGGGCTCTGGTCGCCCATCTCAGGTAACCTATATCCTAGAAAGATTTTGTCATAGTTTGTATTTGAGTCTTCGCGTATTGTTTGCATGACTCTTTCCTGAGTTTCCGGTTCAAGCTCTTCAAATATAGCTTGTCCATATGGAATATGCTCGTTTCCAAATATATGTTTTTGTAGCCATTCTGGTTTTCTTTCCATGTTACCAATAATATCTTTTGTGAATGGGAAAGCTTTTACCCAATGTTTCAGGCTTGCGTCATTTATTTCTGTAGTTGGTTTTATCTTGTCAAGGAACATGTTTTTCAATACTAACATTTCATTTGTACTGTCCATTTGAGTTTTCTTAAATATTCATCCATTCTCGGTTCATTGTCTGCAAAGTAAGTTTTTATGACATTTTGCAAACTTTCGTTTGCAAGGTCATGTACAATAGGTTCTCTTCCTTCTCTCTCCCTAACTTTCTTTCTAAACTCTTCACCAAATATACCATCTCTATGGTTCTGTGTAGTTCTTTGAGATAAATGTTCTAGAACGTCAGGTGTTATATTTCCATCAGCCATGTTCATTTCATACTGGTCCAAAATATCTGCATCTTTCATATCTTTCAATGGCATTAAAGCCGCGCTGAAAATACCAGCTATATCTGGTTCACCATTCACTTCCATTGCGTCTACAACTTCTTGGAATTGTGGTTGTAAGTTTATGAACCACTATCCGGATTAGCTTTATGACCCCATCTCATTGTAGTTCCATAGTCTGCAGAAACAAAAGTAGGTTTGTTTCCATATTGGTTAGGTTCTGAATGAACTTTAAACAATGTTTCATTTCTATATGTTTTGTTGAAATTTAACCTTTTATTTTCACCGAGTTCAGCCAAAGATTGAACGTTATATGGTCGTAAGTAAAAAGGATTGTTGTATTTGCGTACATTTTCTTTCAGTACTTCCATTCTATGCTGAATATTTTCATCTGATGTTGGAGTCTTTTGTATGTCGGCGAACATTTTTCGATATTCTTCTACTATGTCAGCCGAATTTTTCTTAGACTCTTGGAAAGATTCCATATTCTCCGCATACTCTTGTTGAGGGTCAAGATTTTTCGGCTGTTCCAAATCTTCATCTAGTTCTGTGAAGTTAGTTTCCAAAGGAGGGACTTGTTCGTTTCCTTCAGGCTCTTCTAGCTGTTGTTGCTGAACTATTTCTTCCATGTCTGGTTGTATCTGAACTTCTTCCTGTGGAGTTTCTTGTACCTCATCTGCTGGCATTTCATATATTCCGGGACCGTTTTTAACAAGTTCCCTATTTAAGCCATCCGCATTCATAACCCTTTCTTCTTTCGTTCCGTCTCTATTTTTTACGCGTTTCATGAAGATAGTTGAATTATCATTTATCTCTGACACCAAATATCTCGGAGTAAATTCATTCATGTCATTTGGATGATATGCTATTAAATCATATCCCTTAGCGAGCTTGTATTTTCCAGGTTTGAAATTATATCCCATTTGGTGCTGAACCATAAAGCTAAATAGGTTCGGGTCAGTATTTCCTTCCTTGAACTTTCTAATAGCTTCTTTATATCTGTCACTAAAGTCAAGAGTATCTGGGTAACCATAATTTTCCTTAAGCATTTTTAAGAATTCTTGGTTTCCTTGTTCTCTACTTCTTTTATGTCCTTGCTCTGTTTGTGGTTGTTGCTGTGCAGTGTTTTGAACTGTTGGTTGTGGTGCAGTGTTTTGAACTGTTGGTTGTGGTGCAGTGTTTTGAACTGTTGGTTGTTGTGCTGGATTTTGAACTGTTGGTTGTTGTGTTGGTTTTGGTGCATGCCTGTGTCTGTGTCCATGTGACGATGTAAATGTTTTAGGTAGTCCTGGTGCAGGTGCTTCTCTTGGAGGGTTTGGTGGTATATAAGTTCCACTAGCTAGTATATAAGTTCCACCAGCTGGTATATAAGTTCCACCAGCTGGCACATATGTTCCATCTGCAGCATAATGTCCTACCTGACTTTTCGTTCTTAAGAAAGCATTTACTAGGTCTGTTTTGGTCTGTTGTAACTCTTTTTCTTGACTTTCCACAACAGTTGCTCTAACGGCGTCATAGGCACTTTGAACTGCCTGTCTCGTTGCTGCATCTGTTATTTTCGTCATATTTTGTGCTACTTCTCTTAACTCGTTGTCGAAACCTTCAGACTTCAGTTTCTTTCCAGATGAGAAGTCGTTCACTAGTTTCACCTTACTATGAAGAGCTTCGAAGGCGTTCTTAAAGTCAGCATTCATTAAAGCTTCATTTGAACTGTCTTCATCCGCTTGTATTTTTGTCCTTATTGACCCTATAAGTTGGGCTGCTTTGGCGTTGGCTTGGGCATCTAACCAGTCATTATTAGCTTTTATATATTCTGCGCTTTTCATTGCCTTTTGCATGGCTGCGTCGTTATTTTTACTTTCTTGTGCTAAGTTTTCATACTGTACGGTTTGGTTTTGCAACTGTAAAAGTTTTTCTGCCTTTACATTTGCTTCAACTTCTTTTTATACTCATCGCTATCCATATATGTCTTCAGGGCTTTTTGTTTTATTTCTTCATCTTTCAGTACTTTATATTGAGTAGTATGGTTTTTCAAATTTATAACATCTTGTTCCATTTTTGCTACTTCTGCTGCTTTTTCTGACACTTTTTTCGCATATTCCTCTGTACTTAGTTCTTTCAGTTGTTCTTCTTTCTTCTTTTTCTCTACGTTTAACTCATTGAGTTTCTTTGTGTGTCTGTCATATTCTAGTTTCTTTTCGTTTTCACTTATTTGTTTCTGTATGTCTATGTTTGACTTTTTGACATCTGTTATTTGATTTTTGAGTGAACTCAAATTCATTTGACTTTGAGGGTTATAAGCTGTTCCGTCTGCAGCTCCACCATAGCCTGCCATTTTCGCTAAAAGTGCCGCTCTTAAACCTCCACTCTGTGCACCAATAACTCGGTTTAAAAGCATAGGGTTGCTTGACATTTGTTGCAACATAGTGGGGTCATTCATAATTTGTTGTTGCAACTGTTGTTGTGGTGTCAGTTTTACTATTGGATGTTTCAATGCTCCCTTCCTCTTACGTATATTCTTACGTAGCTTACGTGGCATTTTAAGTGAAGTTAAAAAGCGGTTTTTGACAGATGTTTATATGACACTATTTGTTCAGCACAAAAAACTACTCGGTCAAAGTGTTGTCAGTTTTGTAAAATAACCGTCCTATCTCATTCTATAAGGGGAAAAAGGCTTCTCAAAGTATACTTCCTTGGAACGCCCGTAACTTTTCCTGTAGCGACGATAGACCCTTACTTGTCCGGACAAAGTTATACTAAACATCTTCGGGGCTAGAGGGCACGAAGTGCCTGGAAGCCCCACTACCTTTTTTTTTCAACATATTCTGAAAAATGAACCAGAATATATTTATTTAAAAAAGAGAAAAGGTATTAATAAAGATTTTTAATTGAGCTTATTTAAAAGGTTCTACTTCAAGAACTTTATATAGTTTACTTTTTTAAGTAACGTAATAACAACATCTTCAAGTTTATTTTCAATCCTTACGAATGTTTTGATGGGATGAGCTTACTGATAATTGGCTCATCCCATCAAAACATTCCCTTAAAAACTCTGGCCTCGATGAAGGCCAGATTTCGCAATTTATCTCCTCAGAGCCCAGTTCCTCGACGATCGTCCTCATTAGGCTCGATCCGAGAGGAACTTGGCTCTGAATGAAAATCACAAGCTCTGGCCTCAGGAAAAGCCAGAGCTTCGCTAACCATCCTCGGGGCCGGGGTCCTCTAAGACCGCCCTGATTTGGGGCGGCCGGAGAGGAACCCAGTCCCGAGAGAGCGTCCATAAGAAGCTCTGGCCTTTTCTGAGACCAGATCCCTCAAATAAAATCCCCAGGGCCGAGTTTGAGGGAGATCATCTACATCATTGATGATCTCCTCTCGTCTCGGCCCTGAAAGACCTACAGACACAGGATCTGGCCTCAGCAAAGGCCAGAGCTTCGTTTTAAATCACCAGGGCCGGTTTTCCAAAATGCTTCTCTGATTCGGCCCTGGTAAGCTTACAGTATGAAGCTCTGGCCCTTATTCAGGCCAGAGCCTGCACATTTAATCCTCAGGGTCGAGTTTGAGGGAGATCATCCACATCATTGGCGATCTCCGCTCATCCCGGCCCTGAAAGACCTACAGATACAGGATCTGGCCTGAGCAAAGACAAGTGCCTCGCTTACAGACTACATTTGCCGTTTTCAGGAGATCTTCCAAATCACGGACGGTTCTCGCTGAGATTCTGGAAAAACATCTAAATTACTACTCTAGAAAGACTAGAAGGGGGCCCTAACCTTGAGAAAGGACCCCCTTCCCGGTCTTTCTGGCGAACTTTGTTTCGCATTGCGAGTGTCTGCTGCGAATCTGAGGCGGAGCAGCAGACACTCGCAATTATATGTCGCGGCAAGTGCACCTGTGGTGCCAGAATGCACTTGCCGCGACATTTGCGAAATGCGAAGATGATTCCGGAAGGAATGGCAATACTGGCAAAGGCCACTCCTTCCGGCACCAGAAAGACTAGAAGGGGGCCCTAACCTTGAGAAAGGATCCCCTTTCCGGTCTTTCTGGTCGTAATACACATCATTACTTTCTCATTCTTTATTCTCTTTTCAAAAGCACACTATATTAAACTTCAGCCCATATACTTCTGCATTACAGAGAGACAAAATTTATAAATATAATATTTCTGACGGTTAATTCCGTTATTATTAATCATTATAACTCATATTCTCAGCAGATGCATAAGATAAGAGATTAGAATCATAACCGCCCGTCGGAGCAACATCTCACTACATATAGTTCAGCTCAAATTTTATGAAAATCATTTCGAAAACAACAATTTACATCCAAATCAAGGAATAACGTGTTCCTTGTATTTGGATAACAATCCGCCCGTCGGGACTGGACTATTGTAGACGAATGTTGTATTATATATTTTAATTTTATAAAATTTCTACTTAGCAACTGCCTGTCGGAGATTCATCTCATAGTACATAGCTCAGTTCAGAAATTTGTAATAATACCTATTTACAACCGCCCGTCGGTGCTGGGCTATGAGAACTTTGAGATTTTAATTTTATTACAGAGGCCTCGGGCTCTCCTACTTCTTATTTCTCTTCCTGACTAGTTTCCTCCCGAGGCCTCTGAAAAAAAAAGGAAGAGTAAGAGAAGCAGGGGAGAGTATCAATGTTTCATTGGTGTCAGAAAACCTTAGATAGTATACAATTTTGAATTCCTTTAAGTTGATTAGCAATTTCACAAAAATATATTAAACCGTTTTTATAAAACGGTTTAATCGTCTTCAACACAATAATTTAGTACTTTTTAAGGGTGCATTCACGCCCGTAGGGCATAATCTTCAATTCTGCTCTTTAATGTTATTTTCCAATTATCCTTCACGACAGTTGTCAGAATTTTGAATTAGAGTCAGACGGGTGTAAATGTACCCTTAAAAATTTATTTAAACTTGAAATCATATGCTTCGCGTATAAACCTTTCAATTCGCTCGAATTTTGAGCGACAGACGCGAAGAATATGATTTCAAGTTTATTTTCAAAATAAAAATTTTTAATTTCTGTCTCAATATTTATTTTAAAGATTAGTATTATATTTATCTTGTGTTGAAATAGTCTATGCAATTGCTTGAATAAAGGTAAACATCTGCAAAATCTTTCAGTGATTGGAATCTATCAAAATTACTCAATGTTCAACGAATATTAAAAAAAAAAAAAAGGTAGTGGGGCTTCCAGGCACTTCGTGCCCTCTAGCCCCGAAGATGTTTAGTATAAATGAAGTTTTTATTCGGAAAATTGTTAGTCTTCTGGTGTGAATTCGGAGGACTCTTCTTCTTCCTCCATTGCTTCTGGGAAGAAGCCTTCTTCTGGGTCGAAAACATTATATAATGTGTCGCTTTTCACAAATTATATATGTTTTCATGTTTTGTCACTTTTCTGTCACTTTTCAGGAAAAACATTTTTATTATTATATATAAATGAATTTTACAAAACCTCCGTTACCGTTCTTTGGAAATAAGAGTAAATGTAAAGATATTATATTGAGAGAACTTAAGAAACTACCGAATGGTCTAACATTTGTAGATTTGTTCGGTGGAAGTTTCTATATATCCCATTTGTGCCATACAATATTCCCAGACTCAAAGATTATATGCAATGACTTCGACAACTATATGGACCGTCTCAAACATATACCAGACACAAACAATATATTGAAAGAGTTAAAAGAAAAGATACCTATAGGTAAGATGGAACGTATACCATTAGATAACAAAAATATTGTGAGAGAGGTTTTGAAAAAAGCAGAATATATAGACTGGGATAGTATATCTGCTAGACTATTATATAGTGGTTCTATAAGAGTTCATGACATTGAAACACTTATGTCAAAAGTTTTATATCTTAACTATACAAATGTTTTCAAAGAGGACATAGAAAAATATATTGAGGGTATAGAGTTTGGGAGATGTTATTGGACAGAGTTGTATGAAAAATATAAAGACAAGGAAAATGTTTTCTTTATAGTGGACCCGCCGTTCTATAACACATGGGATTTTCAATACCAAGTAGACTGGACTTTGAGAGACTCTTTAGAAACTTTAGACGTTATACATAACCATCCATGCTTTTACTTTACATCCGATAAAAGTGGTTTGGAAAGTGTCATGAAATGGTTAGAGGACATACATGACTATGAGTTTATATATGACAAGATAGAATATGAGAGAGGTCCTATAAACCGGAGAAAGTGTCATAACAAAGAAATTTTATTAGTAAGTAAATGTGGTTTGAAATAGGACTACTTGTTTTAGGTTTTTTCCATTGTGTCATTTATTTCTTTGACGTGGCAGAAAGATATAGAGAATATGAAGATGAACCAATGCCTGCAAATGTTCAGTATATGTACTCGTAAGAGATATTTTTATCTAATATTAAATGGACGCACAGAACTTAGCGAATGCACAGCAACCTGGACAACCAAACCCAGAGAATATTCCAAATGAAGTTAGAATACAAACTGCAATGGCAAACTATGGTCAAGTGCCAACAGATGTACAAATGCAAACTGCCATGTCAAATGACGCTGCGTTAGGTTTGCCACCATGGTATGCAAATATGAGATGGAAAGAGTTTTATACAAACCCTGAAGTGGGATATAAACAACTTTATGCAGATGACGCGAACACAGGAGTTGACCCAGAATATGTTTTCTACCAGAGGAGAAACAGAATGTATGAGCTCCAGTTAAAGAATGCTATGGAACTCAACATGAAACGTAAGAGACTAGGCGGACATTAGATTTTTACATATAGTAAAATGGGTTTCTTCAGTAAGATAGGAAACTTCTTTCGAAATGTTGGAAGAGGTATATGGAATGGAATAAAAACCGTAGGAAGAGGAATTTGGAACGGTGTCAAAAATATTGGTAAAAGGGTAGGTCAGTTTGTTGGTATTATACCTAAAGACCCTGAACCAGAAGAGCAAGCTCCTGTTATACAACAGCCTGAACCTGCACCACAGTCTAGTTGGCAACCAAATCCAACACCTCAACCGTATTAAAAAATTATATTTTTACCGTTCGATAGTAGTTGTATATGAAACTAAGTTCTAAGTAAAACGCATGGTATAATGGAATTATTCTTTTTCTTCCATCTGTAGTAAACCATACTTGAAAGTCTGAAATACTTCCACTTGGTGGTTCGTATAACTTTGTAGGTTTTTCGTAAAAGTCATTTGCCAAGCATAAGAAAGAGTTTTGGCGCCAGAAAATGAAGCATGAACAATAATAGCATCTTGGTCGAAAACATTTTCATATGTTCCATTAGGGTTTTGACTTCATAAAAGTCTGGGTGTACTGGATATGCTGCAGGCTGATTTAACATCCTCATAAATCTATACCATGCCAAGTTGTTATATTTTGTAGAAATATAAACGTTTTCTCCAAGGTCTTCTATTCTATTGATTTTAACAGTTGCATTTTTCTGTCATAAATAATATCGAGATGGTATTCTCCCTCGTCAATGTTATACTGTTTTGCATATTCGAT